CTCGACTTGATTTCTATTTTATTACCTCGTCTCCATAGTTACTATTTGGAATTAGTCAATAATATTGTAGGTCCATTTTATTGTTGTTCTTTCTACACGCCGTTATAATACACTTTCATCTCATCATTCAATTTCTGTTGTGCATATATTGCTGTATAGAAGATATATTAAAGTGATTCATTAGGTGGAAAACGAATAGATAGATAAACCGATATGTGACGCCATCTAGTGTACCTAAATTCATCTAGAAATTTTCATAAAAGTGACCCGAAAAACTGGGCTAACTCGGTAACCAGTGGCCCGATTTTAACAAAAACACATGGAAACAATTAGACCAACGCACCAATTTTATTTATTTTCGGTCACACCTTCTCTAACCGGTTTATGTGTTTCATTGTACATAGTAAATTACAATCAATCATTGCAGAATTTGTCAAATGTTATAGAACAGCTGAGACATCACCTCAGTTGCACTAAAACCGTTATTCATCAATAATTCTTTAAACACTAACCAACAATTATTGATATCAATGGTAGTGCGTGTAGTAATGAATTGTAGGCTTGATGTATGAGATATCTAGTGTTTATTCCCACAAATGCAGCTAATCTAATGTTTCCTGCTAGGTTAGTAATACGTGAAGACAGATATAGGCTACCTCTAGTGTTAATGTCTTAGCCTGAAAGAAAAATATCTTTAATGGTTCCAATCTCAAACTGAAATAAACCGATTAAAAAACCTTCATATAATTAAGAAAAATATTATGGTTAGTTAAATAGACTTCATTAATTACTGGAACATTGTTTATGTTTTTATAATTATGCTATCTTGTGTAACTGAATATATGTTGCTTCCCCTAGATGTACATCATCCGATATGGTGATATCACCTCACCTGTGTGAGATTCTTACAGGTGGCTTCAAGGAAAATCTTGTCTGTTTGTCCGATGTGTGGAGGAATACCGTTTAATGATTAGTCACTACATTACATTCAGAACTGTTTATAAGTCAGATTGTGGAGTTGACATATTTGTGTAAGTAACATAACTTAGCTAGTTATTTTACGGTATAATACAATAGGTACAGAGATATTACTTTTTATTAGAGACAACTGTAAATTAATCCTACCTTTAATTCATCTGTTATATATCTGTACAAATAAAGAAGGTGAAAACGTGTTTTAGCAATATCCAAATTCTAGTATTCCACGTACTTATTCTCCAGGGAATTTAGATAACAAAAATGCGGTTTCCTTAGTAAAAGTACCATCCGTTATTTAGATAATGCTATCTACTCGTGTGATATCAGTGAGATGGTTGATCGAGGTCACGTGGTCTAGGGATATGAGATTGCACTAGTCCTGGATGGCTATAAAATATGAATTAGGAGTAATAGTTAAACATTGTTTCGTTTGTCGAGACTCTGAAAACCTGAAGATGAAGACTCTGATGACCATTGCTTTGATCCTCACTTTTAGTGTGGTTGTACTTTGTGACATGCCTTTACCACCCTTTTGTGGTAAGTATTTAAATATTGTAGTTATTTGTTTTAACGCAAAGTTACATAATAGACTATTTCCGAAGGGAAACTGAACCCCCCGTTCTATATCCGTAAACTTACCGCATACCCGCTGAGGGGATTAATATATTGTGGTAAGGAGAAATAGTCTGACTGAGATTATTTTATATTATCCTTTCTATGGAGGGCTTGCCATTGTCTGGCGGGTAGATCTAACGTTCACTCTAATACAATATACACATCTAACGTTCACTCTAATACAATATACACATCTAACGTTCACTCTAATACAATATACACATCTAACGTTCACTCTAATACAATATACACATCTAACGTTCACTCTAATAAAATATACACACCTAACGTTCACTCTAATAAAATATACACATCTAACGTTCACTCTAATACAATATACACATCTAACGTTCAATATTTTATTAGAGTGAACGTTAGATGTGTATATTGTATTAGAGTGAACGTTAGATGTGTATATTGTATTAGAGACACACCTTAGATGTGTATATTGTATTAGAGTGAACGTTAGATGTGTATATTGTATTAGAGTGAACGTTAGATGTGTATATTGTATTAGAGTGAACGTTAGATGTGTATATTGTATTAGAGTGAACGTTAGATG